CCTGCAATAAGAATTTTGATTTCAAGGCATTTTCCCGAAAACGAATCTTTGAGATTTATGCGCTATTCGCAATCAGAAATCACTGCCTATAGCCAGTCTACTATCCAGAAGTCCAACTGAGTAAATTCATAGAGAGTTGCTGAAAACGATTTTTAAAATCGCTTTAAAATTTAAAATCCTTTTGGCGTGGGAGTTTTTATTAAAACAATGCATATAACCGTTGATTATCAACTATGAATAATTATGAACCCGCAGTGAGGAGGAACCAAAATCAAAATAATTATTATTTCGGCCTGGCCTGGAGCATTTCCAAAGTTCAAATTGAAATCCAGCTGGGTTCGCTTTGAAGTGCAAGGGCAAAAGCCTGAGGAGCTGGGAAAAACTTTTTACTCGCTCGTTTCTACCGGAAATTTCAAGCCTCCGGGCGTAGCTCAAATGACTCATTAAATTCTGGCTTTTTTTCCAGCGTATTTTTTTTCTGAAACACTTTTCTCTATGCAAAAATGTTCACTTTATTTCGCTTTCAATTTATTTCCTTGCACGGGACAGATGCCAGCGACAATTTAAAGGACTGTGGGCACCGGAAAAGCCGAGTGGGGTGGGGGTGGGGGTGGGAAAACCAGTGGGGCGGCGGGGGTTAGGGTTTACGGTGGTCCAGGCACTCCGTGCCGTAATAAAACGCTCACTAACACAATTAAACGGGCTTTGCCGGGGTAAAAATGAATGTTAAGCAAACATGACAAGGCTTTTAAGTTTATGGAGCTACCCACCATAGAGCCCAGCCATTTCCATCTGTGGGGTAGACTAACATGCTCTCGTTTTTCCTGTGGAAAACTGCTGCACTTACTGTCACTTTTCATATGCAAAGCGCTGAACGTCTGCCGTTAATTTAATAACATGTAACATTTTGCCAGGATCAGGTCCTGAGTTGGTCTACAAAGTGCCCAATTAGGGGGCGGAGTTTGGGGCTGTGTGTTGATGTTTTACCCCAGTCTGGTTTAGCCCCCACCCCTTCCACGACGCTTTTACAGTCACTGCATTTTGCAATAAATATCCAAAATTGCAATTGGCAAACACACATACACGGATGCGAACGATTTGGCAAGCATTTTTGGCTTTTGCGGAAGTTCGGCGAAAAATCGTTGACAAGCGACAAAACACTTGACAACGTCAGCAGAGCCAACAAAATAAAAAAGTGCGAGAAAGTGGGAAAAAAGGTGGAAAATCGGGGAAAGGTGGGCTAGAAAATACCAACAACAAATAGAATCACAGCTTCCAACAGGAGAAACACCAAGAGAAGTTAAATCGAAACAAAAGATAAACACGCAAGGAAAGTTTTCGCTGATCAAAACTTTAATACCCCTCCAACTGGGATTTGTGGTTTATGGCTTGGAGATTATTTTTAAACTTAGAGAAAGTTGGCAAGTGTGGGCATAAAATATTTTCTTAGAAATTAGTGTGTTCTATCTTCAGACACCTCGAAAAGAAAAACTCCAAATGAGTTGCGAGTTATACAAAACAACAGCCATTGCGGCAGCTTAAATTTTTATTTCAAGTGGTATGATGTTGCCCCGTAGCTTGATGCTATTACCATTTCCTAACGTATATACTAACAATATACCCGAAATGCGACAGGGTAGCGACACGTTCGAAATTTTGTGGTGCAAGCAAGCCCGAGTGCAAAAAGTGGGAAAAGCTGGACCGATGGCAAATAAAAAACAAACAACAAAAATGTGTAAATGTGCAATCAAATGAAAGAAAACCAATAATCGAAAAATGCCAATGCAGCGTACACACACAAAGCGCCAACAAAAAAAGAGGGAAGATGGAGCGGATGGCCTGGGAATTATTGGCTCAGGTGGAGGGGTACAGGTGTAACTGGGGGGCTGGGAGGCGGCAGTGGAAAATGCACTAAATAAAACATGAAATTGCGAAAAATTCGACCATGTGAGCGGCACAAGGATGTCAGGTGCCGGCCCAGCCCACCTCGCCGATTTTCCGCCCTCAATCTTGCTAGCCAAGAATTTGCAGCTATAAATTGTTGTCGCAAAATAAACAAAAAAAAGGGCAAAGGGGAGAGGGAAGTGTATAGAAGACTTCCAACCGGGAATAATTGTGCACACAATAAATCAACTTGAGCAGCGGCAAATGGCGAACAAAAGGATTTTTTCAATTTGCTAACGAAACATCAGAGCACAGCGCAGAAAATAAATGATAATAGCCCGGCCAACTATTGTTGGCCAAGTGTTTTTGCGACAGCGAAAGCCGCAAGCCAAAAGACCAAAATGTCAAAATACTAAATATTAATCATCATTATTTCAATCAACATTTATTAACATGGACTTTGCATTAGCACATAATGTATTTTTGACCTTTTGTCATTCTGCTCCAGAGGGTTATATCCCTTGCACAATCCACACCCGAGCCACAACGCACAGACCACATTTTCAATTTTGACACAAGGGTCAGAAGTAAAAGGAGCCAAGTTTGCGTCACAAAGGCCAGGATCCATTCGTTTGTCTTTGCGGCCTGTCCATGTGCGTGTGTGTGTGTGTGTGTGTTTGCCCCCTTGGCACTTGTTTGTAAGCCCACTCCCCCAACCCCCATCAGCCATAACCAACCGATGCCAACCCGAAAGGCCCCACACTCCAGCGAAACCATTCCAGAGTCATTTCAAACTCGATTTCAGTCATTTGTCTTTTGTCATATTAATAATTCCCTTTTATTATTGCCACCGTGATAATAAGCTGTCTGCTATGACCGCTCCACTCGAGCAGCCCCATCATCCCGAAACATTTTCCATTATCCCCGACTTTTATAATTTCCCATTGCTGCAAAAAGGTGCGCGTTCACCTTTTTTGCCCCGCTCATTAATAATAATATAAGGGAAATGGCTGGGGGATGCGTATATACCCTTTCCCAATTGGGAGATGTTCGAGTGCTGCATTGTCCACTGGAACAAAACTCGCAGTCCCTTTCTACACTGCGAAAAATGCACCCTTTCATTTCTTTGGGTTTTCCCATTCATTCTTGAAACTTTCTAGTTGTCAAGGAAAAAGCGAAAAAACGAATTCATTTAATCTGCCATAATTTTGTTTTACAAAAGCCAAATGTGCCATCATTAATCAGCTTATGTAATTAATGTAGCAACCTATTTTTGCGCAGTGCATGGCCCTTCACTTGCTCTCTTTAAGTCATTAATTTTCATCTGTTGTTTCTGGTGCTGCCCTGCGCTGCGTGCATCCCTCTTTTTGCAGGCAAATAATCTTAAGTATTTGCTCGTTGCGGTTCGCTTTGTAATAGATCATTAATAAGGAGTAAAAAATTCCACAAATGCTGGCAAAGTAATATTAATGCAGTCAAGTGAGTTATTTACTAATTTGATAGATAACCGCAAAACTTCTGAACGAAAGAAGCGCTCACAACTTCTAACACCGCATTCAATGTTCAGTTTTCTGTTTGCGGAGTGTGTGGAGTGTGTGGTGTGTGTGGGTTTTTGGTTGTGAGCTGAGCACAAAGGTGTAGAACTCCAAGTTGTCAGCTTGTTAGGGCGAGTTCTAAGCCTTTGCTGGCTAAGACAAAAAGTGCTTGTTTGCAGGCTGAATGTGAAAATCCAAACAAAGTGCGAAAGTTGAGAGTTCGGAGCACAGAATGTGCGTGTGTGCTTGTGATTCGATTAGCTTTGGGGTTAAGGCAAGTTGGCTCCATTCAAATCAAAACCAAAAACCTCAAAATATCAAGTGCCAGACGAGATGGAACCTAACTTGATTTGCAATTATTATTGTTTAACAAGAAGCATAAGCCGACACTTATCCCGACTCACAGCCACACTCGCCCAAGCCGACAGCTTTGTTATTGTTGATACAAGAAGCCCTTCCGAGTAAGGAACATTTTCAAATATTCGAAAGCCTTCATCTGCATCTTCAGATACAGATCCGTATCCACACACACACACCAACACCCACACACAATTGTTGCTCCACTCCTGGAAAACTCGGTGGGAAATGGGGGGTTCATAAATCCAATGACAGAGCCAGACCAATGTCATCTTATTTTAGGCAAATGATAAATTGACAAATTTATTTGGGTCACAGCCAGGGCGCATTCATCATCATTTGCAGGAGGATTTCCATCGGGCCACGGGGAAATTGAAAATTTCTCTCTGTCGTTCGTTTATTATTTTGTTTTCATTTTCGTTTTCATTTTGGTTTAGCTGTGGACTGTTATTTTTTTTTTTTTTTGGATTCCCAGGGACTACTCCACTCATAATGGAGCTGCTGGGCAACAACAACTGACACTTTTGCCTAATGCTAATGCAGTTATAATGAGCTCTAAGCCAATTGGATTGGATTGGATGTCCCTGATTTGGGTTGGGCTTGGGCCCCCAAAGTCGAACTCAAAGTCAGAAGACGCTTCGGACATTTGCATAATTAAAATTGATGTTCATGCTGCCAGTGAAGACCGTACTTGTGTACTTGCAGTTCCATCGAAAGGGCTGTCCGACTTGTCCATTGTTTATTTATAATCCCAGCAACTAGTGCGCTGATTGAGTTGCCCAAGTTGAGGAGCGCATAAATTTGCATTATAGATCGACACACAGGCATCGAAGGACCGAGTGAGTGAGGACTTACACTGGTAGAAACAACTGAGCAAGAACTAAGGAGGTAGCCCTCTGGATTTTCATAGGAAAATCACTTTCGCAATGGTTTAGTTTTCGAAAAGAATTACCTCGAAACAATAAAAATCAATTGAATCGTTCTTTTAATACAAATGAAATGAAGTGGAAATCCCTAAATATTTCTTCACTGTGTAAATACATAGAAGGTGGTCCGTTGTTTTGACCTACTGTTCATCTGCATGCTACATTCGTGCTGCAATTTCTTTTTGCATAATGCAGGAGACTGTTCAACTTGTGCTCAGACGGCAAAGCTGGTTTAATCAGCCCATCAGTTAAACGAAAACATTGGAATACTCTATTTCTGCCCGGTCGGGAAACTCACCTGGAGAAAGTTCTTCGGTGACTGCCTCTATTTGCGAAATCATCACGAGGCAACTGCCAAACAGAAGCCATTGCACCCGGTTCATTGTGGCAACACTTTCGGGGTTCGAGCTCTTTCTTTATTAAATCTGGAAGGATAAACAAGAAAATGCATTTTTTAATACGTTGGTAGGTTGAGTATAGGCTACGGTTTAGGTAAGAAATCCAGTTGTACCGCTTACTCTAAAAGTTCATTGAAAGTTTATTGAAATATATATAGCATGCGTAATTGTGGCAATTGTGCGCGGTGTATTTACGTATGTACAGGTATATAGCTACAGCTCAGCAATTTGCCATTAAGATTTCCACCATCGACAGGCGGCAGTGGCGACGCACATTATTCACTGGGCGTTCGCGCCGCAAAGTATGCAACGTCATGCGGTGTGGCAGTGAGATGGCGCTGACGATGGAGCTCTGGAGGTCGGAAAATGGGTGGAAAACTACGGAAAGGCGACGCCAAGGGCGAAGGCCACCGATTGGGGGGCGTGCCCTGAGCCACACGTCAAACACATTCATCACGAGTGCCAGAGTGACAGATGGCAAATGCGCCTACGGTCTCGTTTGTCCCCGCTTCTGGAGAGGAATCCATGATCCTTGGTCCAGCTTGGCCATGACAACGGACGGCTCCGTGCCCGGGCAAGGGCAAAAAAGGACAAATGGAAATTTTTCCAATTATTGCCGCAGGCAACAGCAGCATTGGCGTCAACAGAAAAAGAACATTTAACGCTTTAAAGTGCGACAATGCTCATATTTCATTCATGGTGCCGTTCAGGCACCGAGATTCCCCGAATCATCAATAACTAATTGCAAAATTTTGAGTGACGTCGTCGTCAGTTGATCAAAAACTCATTCTGTCAGCCGCATGTGGACACGAATCCAATAAAGAACGCCAACGCTACGGAAAATATATATAAATTCTAAGTAGTGCAATATGTAATGTGGTCACATCTGCAACTGACATGATTTTGGCATTAAACCGAAAGTCATTTTTCGGGCGGTCCTCTGTGTAAGAGCCCTTTCAGTTTTTGGCTTATTTAAGGTCTGTACATCTTTGGTTGGCAAAATTCACTTTTATTTTAGACTGACAGCAGCTGCTGAATAATTACGTATACACAAAAGGTAGCGGACAGGCTAGGGTTTGGAGAACTGTGCGGTACATAAGTTTATCAACCGTGTGATTGAATATTCTCGTTATATGCCATTGAGCCACACATATTGCAAATGTTTCTTTTCTATACTTGAGCTTTTATCAGTATACCGATAACAACTTCAGGCGGTGTCATAAAAATCCCTACATTTTATTATTGGAAAACATATTTTCTAGTCTACGATAACTATAAAACTGGAGATACGAATCAGGGGATTTTAAGAACGCCTGTGTTTGCCATTATTTCTGAACGAAGGGGATTAACAAAGTGCTTAAATGATTTTTACATTAGTTTACAGCCTTGTCCCTATGATTGATTAAGCCCTGTGAACATTCAGTTGCGGAACGGACTGTACATAAGCACCATATGCTAGCATATGACCCAAGACGCGGCTCAGTGGCTCCCATCAACACTTTCAATTTCAAAAGGAAACTTTTGGGCCACCTACACCACACACACACACACACATACACATGGGCGGTGGAGGAAAGGGGGTCGAGTGGGTGGCGCTTTTGGGGGACTGGCGGATTGGCAAGGTTTTACGAGGTCCTGTTAACCGCGGGTATTTACACTAAGTCTAATGAAATGTTTAACAAGCACTTTGCTCTGCGCAAATCCCAATGACCCATAATATTAGCATAAAATCACTTGGCCCAGTGGAAAAGGGGGTAGGATCCTGGCAACCTGCACCGCTCGTAACCCCTAGCCCCTTCATAAATAAGTAGTTCTGGGTGTGTTTTGGGGTGTGTGTAACTACTTGCTAGTCAGCCTGCGTGGCTTGACACGCTCTACGCTCTGCGCTCTACGGAAAATGCGGCCTCAGCTCGGGAAATTTTCATTTAAATTGCACACTTTAAAAGTTTTCCCCAGCCCAAAGAGCAAGGGGAAATGCGAGAAGAAGGGCTTAACAAAGCACCGACATGGCCTATGGCAGGCTGTGTATACATATATATTTTGCCATTACGCTGCATATAAATTTTTATGTTGGTCCATACTTTATTTGTTTTTGGCCTCCGTTTGGTTTTCTGCCAGTTGGCCCTGCCCCTTTGCTACCAAAAATAAATTACATTAAAATTCTAAGCCATCAGCCGGCGAGCTTTGGAAATTTATTTTTCCACATTATTCGCCGCTTGCCGCAAAACTCTATTTTCTTCGTGGGGTTAAGAGTTGGGATCTGGGCTTAGTCCCGGCAAAGTTGTAAAGTATCATTCGAGTCAATTAGTTCATTTGCAGAATTTCATTTCGGTCAGAGGGAATTTTGATGAGTTTCATTAAGTTTTGAAATAAATTTGAGCCGAAAAGTGGGTGAGTGTTACTATGACCACTGGGCTTATGGCCATTATTTTGCTCTTACTTTTTATGTGATTACTTTTTTCCCTAAGTTGTTATTTGATAACATAAAAACATATTGAAGTTATTGAATACAGTATTTTATATATTATTTCCTGTGCAGAAAAATTCTTTATATTTAAATAACTTAAATTTAAAGTCTATAAACGTATTTTTTTTTAACTATCTCAGCCGCTTAAACATATTTATTTATTCTGATTAAGAATTACAATGTCTATTTTCGGGCTTGTATTTATTTTCTTATCTTTATCCAGTTGAGGCCTGCCCACATAGAATCCTTGGCCCAGCTTGCACAGGTATGTCCTTTTCTACACATACTTACATAGATGCGATTGTGTACATGTACACGCGCAAACAATCACATACACGATGAATTCTATTTATATTTCATGGGAACATAGGATTTCATAAAACACGGGAGTTATATCTAAGTAGCCAACTTACTTGGTATTTATATTGTGCCAGTCCTGGAAATATGTTTTTAAACCATGTATTCTATTGTTTAGTTGTTGGTTGGGATGAATTGAAAAAATGTAAACACACTTTTGTATGGTACACACAAACACGCGAAAAGGAACATGAACACAGAAGACTTGACTATGGGCTTATTTGTGTTTATAACGGGGCGCCAACGTAATCACAACCATTTTTCACTATTTAGATTCTTAAATCTTAAGTTTCACTCGAGTTTTAAATGTTTTAAATGCGAAAACACAGAAAAATAGGCATACAAATTTACAGACGCTCGAATTTTGCTGTCAAACGGAGCACACAATCTCTCGCTCTCTCGCTCGCCGTTCCTCTTCCATTGCGTTTCGTCCTGCGAGAGCGAGGCAGCTGTTCGAGTCGTATAGGGAAAGGTCCTTTTTGGTGGTGAGAGGACATTCGCAACTGTCAAAATGACAGCGAAACATTCGCAGAGCGCAGGCGCTTGTTTCGTTTCGTTCCAAATCGCCCAAAGGAGCATATCCTGCGATTCCAGCAGGGGTTGCGATTCGCACACCCTCTCCCGCACAATGATTCTCTAGAGAAAGAGAGTAGAGAGAGAGCGAGAGAGAGAGAGAGAGCAGGCTACAATTACCTGGAGAATTGGCATTAGCCCATTTTCGTTGCGTTATAAATTGCGTTTGTCACTTTGGAGCATTCGCAGACTGGAGGTCCCAAACACACACGCATATCCTGGGTGTGATTTTACATTTCCACCCCCTCCACCCACCTGACAACGCCACCCAAAACACCCCATCTCCATGCAATTACATTTAACTTTCCTTGAGCAGTCTGCTAGGTTGGAATTAATTTTCGATTTTATTGTCAGTTAGTCAAACCCACTTGCTTGGCTGTCGCTGCGCCTGACTCTGATTTAATTGAAACTGCATGAATATGCAATTTCGGGCTATAAATTGAAATCTCGATTTCTCCGAACGACCCGACCCCACTTTTTATAGCCTTTTTGGAATTTTCACTTTTAATGGCTCTCAGTTGGCCCCTTAGGAGTTTTCATCACACACACGCACTCAAATATTTGTACAACCTATAGAACAGACTGGAGGCCAATGTGAACACACCTGAACATACATATACAAAAAAATATAAAAATATTCAACCGAGGCTGCTGAAGAAATCAAAGGATGTGGGAGAGGCTGGTGAACTGCATCAAGAGTAATGGTGGCAATGGTGGGGCCAAAAAGACAAGCTGCCAAGTTGTCCAACTGGCGGATCTGATGAAGCAGGTGCCGCCCAACCAGTTGCCGAAGTTCCAGATGTTTGCCAAGAAGCACGAGGAGTACAAGGAGTAAGATGGGGTTACCAAATACAGTGTATTGGGGTGATCAGCTAGAGAAATTAGGGAGAGTGAATTAAACCTGCCTTAGAAGGCCAGGACCGTCAAAAAAAGGCATATGATATATTATTATTTAAGGCAACAGCTTATTTTTCTTTAAATATAACAAATTTTTTTTTTATTTTTAAATCATATATTTCCCAGTCGCGTTCGTAAGTATCCAGAATCGATGCCGACAATTGACTGGGAGTACTACCGTCAGAATGTGCGAGAAGAGTTCGTGGATTGGGTGAAGGGGTACGAGACCAAGTATGATAAACTACATTCCGTGTTTGAGAATCGACATGCCATAGTAGATCACAAGCGGTACTTTGATCTCGTAGATAAGGAAAAGGAGGAGGTAATAAAATCTATTAGCGATTACAAGGCTGAGTCCGACAAAAGAATCAAAGAGCTTACCGAAAAGTTGGAGTGTATGAAGTCCATGCGGCCCTACGACGAAATGACCATGGAGGAATTTTGTTTTGCCCGTCCGCATTTGGCACCCGATTTCATCAACAAACCCACTTTCTGGCCACACACTCCCGAAGAGCAAAAGCCAGGTCCTTCGGATCCAGAGGCAGCAGCTGCTTTACATCACGACGAAGAACCCGAACCGCCAAAGAAATCAGCTCCCGAAAAGCCTCCAGAGAAACCAACTGGGGATGCAAAAGCTGAGGCAGCTGCGGCTCCCAAGAAGCCAACAGAGCCAACAGAGCCTCTTGTGGATACCACTCAGGTGGCCGAAAAGGCCACTCAACTCGCCAAAGATTTGGTGGCCAAAGCTATTGTTCTTTTCAACAGTCTTAAGGAGAAAATGTCTGGCCTGGCCAAGAATGTTCAGAAAAAGGCAGAGGCCGCCAAAGCAGCCCGTTCCGAATCCGCTGGCAAATCCGTAACGCCTACAGCCGCACCAACAAAGTCACTGGACAGCATTTCGGAACGGGAGAGTGGACCAAACATATGCAACCAAACTATTATACGCAGCGAGGAGGCGGAGGCCAATCCGGAGGTTAAGGCCAGGCATGCCAACCTCTCCATCGAGGCGGATCCCTGCGAAGCGCAGGAGGAGCGAGCCAGGGAGATAGCTAGGACATTGGAGCGCAAGAGGCAATTAAAAGAGGCTGAGGAATGGGAGAAATACAAGACCAAGAAACATCCTTGTGATTCCGAAGAGGAGCCGGATCCCTGCAAGCCCAAGGAGGAGGAAGCCATTTGCAAGCCCGATCCTTGCCAAGCGAAAGATGAAGAAGCTGTCTGTGAGCCTGATCCTTGCCAGCAGAAAGAGAAAGAAGCTGACACTTGCAAGGTCGATCCTTGTAAGCCGAAGGACGAAGAAGGCACCTGTGAAGACGAGGAAGATCCTTGCAAGAAGAAGCCGAAATGCGATGATAATTTCCAATTCGGTGGAGACAATGATGGCGATTCGACAAAATCCAAGCAGCAGGACCAGGTCTTCATCAACATATCCGAGTGCAGCAAAAACCTCGCCAAGCAGGAAGAAAAGAAATCCGGGGACCCTGGAAAGCCCAAGGAAAAGGCATCACTGACAGAAATACCACAGGGGTCACATCAAAAGCCCGTGCTTGGCATGCAGATTTCAGAATCCAAGGATTCCAAACGGGATAACAAAGCTAGTATTGAAGGTGCAAACGAAGTTGGTCCGGTGTACACCGATCCCAATCAACTTGCTGAATTGCTTACCAAGGAGAAGGAACCAAAAGTTATAATCGAAGAAGCCCAGAAACCCGTTGATGATAAACCAGTAACCATATATCCCAAGCTTGAGATATCAGCCAAACCGAAAGGCGATCAAGTCGATCCGGACGATGAGACCAAGAAGTCGCCCAAGGTTATGGCCAAACAGGTGTTCACAATGGCCTCAGGAGCTGCTACTCTGCTGACAGAAGCCACCAACACACTGGAGGACATGAAGAAGAAGAAGGAGGCACGTCTGGAGGCTCTGGAACAGGCCTACACTTCGGCCCAAAGACAGGCCGAAGGAGCTCTAGCCGAGGCGTCGAAAGCCGTGGAAGCCGCCAACAATTTGGCCCAGAGATCTGCCCAGCAAACCGGCGAAATGAGCAGTCGCGACCGCGAGGCCTTGGACATGGCCGAAAAGCATGCCATTTTGGCTAAAATGCTGGCCGGCCGTGCGGTGGCCTTGAAGGACGAAATCGCTCGAGTTCTCAACGATCTCAAAAAGAAAGAGTAATCAGTACAAACACATTTCCTAATGATTTTCTACCACTTTTTGTTAGTTTTTTTTTTTCTATTAAATTTAATGTTATATTTGTTTCCCGTTCAAAGTTTCGCTTTCATTTGATTTCGAATCGTTACTTTTGTTTTTATGCTAATTTTTCCCACCCAGCTTTGCTGACCAAAAGCTGCCGGTGGGCAATAAATTTATTCTTTTCCACCAGCTTCGGTTTGCTGCTACGGCTAAAAAGTTTTCTATTTGGAATTCGCCAGCGAACTGTGTGTGAGGCGTTCGTAGATTGCATAATTATGCTAATTTTGTTGTTTATCCACCCACCAAGTGTAAAAGGGTATACTGTGTGGATATGAAAAGGCGAGTTTACAGAATTATTGAACATGTTTTTACATTTTTAACAAGTATCTGTTTACTGAACAGTGCATTTGGATTAATTGTTATACAGCGACTGAAGGTTAGTTTTAGAGGGTATAAAAAGGTTCAATGCAACTTCAAGAGTATAGAGGTTGTGTTCCTACCTCATTCCGATCTTACCTCTGAGAAAGTAGGGTATAACCCAGTCAAACCAGTCCGCTTTTTAGTTTCTCCTTCTTGTTTGGCATTCAAAGCAGCCGTTCGAAAAGTGTTGCCTACATTTTGGCGCAGGGTTTTCGCAATCAAACACATTTGCATAATTAGCTTGTCCTGCTTGTGTGAGTGCGTGTACTGCTAGTGTTGGTGCGTGTTTAATTCCAGTTTGATAGTTTGTTATAACCTTTAAGCTGAAACATTCCTTTTGTTCGCACATAACAATGGTTTGGTCTGCTTTTTGGCGGGCAATGTAAACATTTCGCTTAAGCCCTGCTTTTATTTATGTGTATTCATCGGCCAATATAGCTAGGTATATAAATGCATACCTATATATTTGTTAACTTAAGCGGCGTTAAACAAGCCATATAAATTCAATTTGAAAGCGCTTTGTCTGCCGCTTTTTGTGAGCTTTCATTGTATCCACCTTATCGCTTAATCGATTACGTAGGTGACAAAACCCATTTTGCCAAGTGCGACGGGAAGTTCGGGGTAAGCGGGGTTTTCAGGGTCTAATGTACCTTTTGGGACACCTTTTCTGGCCCCTTGCGGAATTTGCATATTTATTTGGATTTTCAAACTGATTTTAACCCCTGCAAAGGTTAGTCGATTAAGCTGAAAGGGATTATTCATGAGCTACAAAGTGCCGGTGGGGCACGGCTTAAAGTCAGAGCCGAGCCAACTTCGATGGAATTGGCCATTTGGCAGGATCTGGACATATCGCGTTTAAGTGGGCGTGGCAAAAGGATTTTTGGCAAATCTATTGAAATATACAAGGTATATAAAAAAGTGAAAAAATATCACAACATTTTTCAAAACAGTTTTCTCGGTTTGTGGGCGTGCAAAAAGTTTTTTGGCTCTCCTCTGCGCTTCTCAAACGGGCTACCTAAGCTGCCATTGAACGCACCTATTTTTCGAAGAGCCCTTCTATGCGCTTCTCAAATGTGCTACCTAAGCTGCCATTGAACGCACCTAGTTTTCGAAGAGCGCTTCTAATCAGCGACCTAATCAGCTGCAGAACTTCGAGTTTTGGAAGAGCCCTCCTCTGCGCTTCTCAAATGGGCTACCTAAGCTGCCATTGAACGCACCTATTTTTCGAAGAGCCCTTCTCTGCGCTTCTCAAATGGGCTACCTAAGCTGCTGCAGAACTTCGAGTTTTGGAAGAGCCCTCCTCTGCGCTTCTCAAATGAGCTACCTAAGCTGCCATTGAACGCACCTAGTTTTCGAAGAGCCCTTCTCTGCGCTTCTCAAATGGGGGACCTAATCAGCTGCAGAACTTCGAGTTTTGGAAGAGCCCTCCTCTGCGCTTCTCAAAC